GTAATGCATATCAAAATTTAAACTTGAAACTAACAATGTACTTCATTGTTTAATGCAAAGAAAATGTGCCCTTTAAGGGGGAAAAAGTCCTTAATTATTGAAAAAATCACCTTGGGTTTGTTTTTCTGAATAGATACAATAAGGAAGAAACATAACCTTAATGAGCATGTACTTTTGTATATTTAATCGTCATAACAAACCATTTAAAGACATTACGTTGTATGCGATCACGTGATTGGTAAGTGGCCAATTTCAGGGCATTTTGAAACCAAAGCCTCATGTATTCTTACAAGAGTACTCGACCCTCCTACAGGATCATGTTATAATTTGGCATAGTTCATATAGAAGTTTACTGTGGTATTTAGGTAATGTATTCAGGGACTTACTTTGAAGCACTGATAATCCTTTTCACTAACATATCTAGTAGCACTGGATGTGTATTATGGTCTGGCTGAGTAGTCTTACTATTAAACAGAAACTTAAAAGAAATTCCTAAAGGGTACTCCTGACAGCAAGCTAAATCTATTGCTTAAGATCTGTTTTTGACTGTTTTGAAATGTTTTATGAAAGGCCAGGCTTCTCACACACCCATCAAATCCCTTAGCTGACAAAGATGGTTCTAAATGGCTCCCTGGAGATTACAATCATTCTATAAATGTGAGCAAAAGAGGAATTATATCTGCCCACAAATTAAAATGTCCTTCGTAAAAGTCAATTTCAGGAACTTGAAAATCTTTTTTTTAATTTATCTTATTTTTCGTATCACCATTTATCCCCTCTATGCCCTCTTCCACCTCCAACCCCCCCAATCACCCCACAGTCCATGTCCATGAGTTCTCTTTTTGCTTTTTTACTCAATCCCTCCATACCCAACGTCCTCCGAAATCTTAGGAGATATTAAAAGAAAATCATCATGAAGATCTCGACATATGTTATACTTGGTTTTCCCTGGCTTATTACTTGAGAAAGTTTTGGTGCTAAGTGCTACTCTTTGCATAATTTTGCCATAAATCTGAGCTGTGTAGGTTAAAAAAAAACCCAAAGCATTTGTTCTGCTTATGTTCTTTTGCAGGAAGCTGGAAGAGGGTTTCACTGTTGTGACCTCCAGGGTTGCTGAGCTATTTGTAAACATGCATCAATATCAACTCATTTTAAGCAACAAACTGAACCTTCCCTTGAGTAAACTTCATTATGAGCCTTCCCAAAGAAATGCTGTCTTCCAATGAAGGTATGGACTTAAAATATGCACAGATGATATCTCTCTGAACTCAGAATCACTGTATCTCAGATTTTCTAAGGTTTACAGGTGTTTAGGCATTTCAGTTTATCTTAAACTACCAGTAAAGATAAGTTTTCTGATGCCTTTTAAAGTGGATTTTTATACTACCATTTTAAAAAGTGAGCTACATATAAAAAGCCCTCTTAAAAGAACCTCTTGTCAACTGAAAATAATAATATTCACCTGTTATTAGCGTATAGTGCACTGTCATTTCAAAACTGCCGGTGACTCATGTTACAAATGCAGCTATTTTTAGGACAGAGCAGGAATGATGTTCACAATATTCCTTGAAAAGCCACTAACTATTTGATCAAGTATTTTGCAGATGGAAAAATGGATACACTTCTTATATCCCAAAATTACTCTCAGTAAAATGTGTTCATTTGGCCATCTGCGTGTCCTTGCTTTTTGCGTAGTCAACAAGTCACACAAACAACAAAACAATTTGCTTCACATGAAAGCTACATATTTATGAATCTTAAAGAAGAAATGTAAAACCACCCTAGAGGTTATACAGCACGTTTGATATCAAGTTCAGGGCAGCAGCACTCTTGCATACACTTCAGTAATCCTACTTACAGGTAGGATTCTCCTGTAATTGCTATTGCTGTGAAACCCTAACTATGTTCTTTAAAAAAGTTATTAAAACTAAATGTGACTAAGCAAAAGTCGAAACATAACTATCATTTAAAAAATTAAGACTAAACATGAATTAAAAGGTTTTATTAAAAGCCCAAAATCGGTAGTGGGGAAAACTATCCTTAGAAAGAAATTCTATGGCCAGCAGCCATGTGAGTACTACTGATTCGAAACTTCCTAACAAGCATACTCTATTATTTCTTTGTTTGTTTGTTTCCACCGCAAATGGCAGCCAATTAGCCGCTTTCTCATTTGTGGAAAACTTAAATCTTAAAATGGACTGTCCTCCATACACTGAATTGGGACACAGGAGAAGAGCATTAGTGCTGATTGACACCGGGATTACTGGTTCCTACTAGAAGTGCTGACGCAACCTTCAATACACCAGGACACAAAAGGCATAGTTCTGCTTTGGCTTAGAATCATAAAGCAGGTTATAAGCAGCAAACGATGCATATTTGGTACCAAAATTAAAATGCAGCTTTAAAAATAATGGCCGAGGGGAAAGTTTCTGTAGAAATTGGGCCTAAGTAGGACAGATTGTCGTCAGTAGAAACATTCCTGAAATTTCCCTTCTGTAAATACAAGCTGGCCTCTTCACGGCAGTTTTAATTCTAATTAAGACAAAGGTTTTTAATTAAGCCCTGAAGATCCTGGTGAAGGGCCTTCTGTAAAACTGTCCTTGCTGGTTCCTCCCGAGGTAATTCATTTTGAGAGACAATGAAGTGGATCTATTAAAATCTTCAGAGAAGACATTTCTCTCCCTGCTTTCTGCTACTCCACAAAGCAAACAGACTGAGAAAAGCTGCTGGCCCCTTGGAACATGCAAGAAAAGCACTGCTCATTTTAAATTCAAGCTTCCTCCTTCGTTTCAAAACACCAGTGGATACAGGCTTTAAGTCCCCAGAACATGGGAAGAAAACTGATTTTGTAAAGTGGGAGCTTGAGCAATTTTCCATATTGTTTCAATCCCCACCCCCCACACACACACATACACATACACACCACCTTGGGGAGACGAAAATGAACTGCTACTACATAAAGAAAGCCAACAACTTGTTTCAGATATCCTTAAAAATGCCATCTCTACTCCCCACCCCAAACCCTATTTGCTTATGAAGTATACTTTTTCTAGGATGAAAACTAGTTGGGAAGCAAAATAAAACTAAAGCTGATTTTCAGGAACCCAAACAGAAGTCAATGCTGGTGTATGAGTTTCAACATGAGGGCGGAATAACGGGTTGAGGGAAAACATCAGAAACTGTACCTGCCTCTGATTTCTACCTTGCCTAGTCCTATCATCACTACTTTTGCTTTAAGCTCTGGTCTCCCTGCTTCCTGGCCTGGAGAGGGGAAAAGAGAAGATAATGAGTATGGAGGCAATTAAGGAGAGATTAGCCAGCCCTGCATACTGCTCCACAAAATGAGCTGGCTTCTCCCCATACCCCGCATTCCTGGCCAAGAGAAAGGGATCCTGGCCTGAAAAGAAAATGGGACTTAAAGCTGGTTTCTCTAACCTAGCTGCAAAGTCTTTATACAACCAGGGGGCTATTATTTGAGGAGACAGTGGGAAAGGGGCAAAAGATTCACGTTGCTAAGGAGACACACTGAAGCTGGCATTCCTACATAAATTTCCATTTCTATTCAAGAGGAGAAAGAAAAGATATTTTCCCCAAAGTTTATTTGGATCCCCTGGTTACTGAAGAAAGGCATTTTAACGACTTATTTCATCTTTAGTTGTAAACAACCAACCCTGAAAGAATTAAAGGCCTAAATGTTGACCTCCTGCTGCCAACCAGTCCCCTCCACAGTGAATTAAGTAACAAAACCAAAACCCTTCAATGGAAATTTTGAGGAACTATCGAAGAAAAGGCCTTTTGTAAACAGAAAAATCAATTTTATGGCCCAAACTTAACCAAGTGAACTAATCTCTCTTATAACAAGAAACCAAAGACAAAAGTCAATCAGATTCTTGTGGCTGTTGTGTTATTTCAACTTTCTTGGAACTGGAAACGTTTCCAGCAAAGCTTTATAAATAGTCCCAAAGACATGAAACTGGCACGAAGGAATTTAATGAGTTTTTCAGGGGTGCGTTTAAGTGCATAAAATCACAGGCAGGTCCTCTCTCTCCATTCCCCTTTCTCTGTACCGACACCGGCTGAAGAATCAAGATTAGCAAGGAAAAGGGTTTGCAGCAAGAAATCAGAAGTTGGCAGATTTCTACTACGGGCGTAACTGGGGTACAGGGGAAGGCAACTGGGGGTCAAGGAGAGAGTAAAGCAGTAAAGCCCCCATGGGGCTGGTAGCCCGAGTAACTACCTTTGTCTCCAAACCCCATCTTTCCATTTGCAGCTTTCAGTGCTGGCTGAAAAGGGTACTAAGTCCCAGGCTTTTGTGAATAGTTCATGAAGAGAAAAGAAAGGAAGGTCTGGAGGAGAGGGGAGGTTCTTGGACTGGGAGAGAAGAAAAGGCAACTCACAACCAAGGGCAGTGTCACCATAAAAGGAAGAGAAATTAAGCCTGTCCCTCTCCCAACTCTTCACATCCCCCCAAAATGTCAGGAAATAGAAAGTCCGAACCTAAACTTATTGGGGAAAAGTCAGGTAAAGTGGAGACAAGGCAGAAACGCGGGCACCAAGAGGTAAACTTGGGCGGTTTCCCGCGAAGAGAGAGGAGGGAGAACAGAGCGAAGAAGACCGAGAGAGAACCCAGGGCATCCCGGTGAAGTTGGGTCGGTTTTGCTTTTCCCTTTTCAAGGGGGGCGAGGAAGCCACAGACACATGGTTCTCGCCTTAAGTGATAACAATGACCCCAAAGAGCATACATGTTACTCCAGAGCCCGAGGAATGACCACGGGAGGAGGGTGGAGGGCGCGGGACGTCGCATTGGGTTTGTGTGGCCACTAGGATCAGGGAGAGGGCAGGGGTGGACATCCGAGGATGCGTGTAGGGGCCAGGATGGAGCGGGGCGGACAAGGGGAGGGGACACAGAAAGTGCGGGGCAGAGGCGGCGGCGGTCCGGGCAGTGGGGCGCGGGGCAGTACGGGGCGGGAGGAAGGGATCGCGGCGCGCCAGGCCCTTACCGCTGCTGAGCGTGGACTCGCAGTCCCAGTTGTCCAAGCTGGCGGGTTTCCGGCAGGACTCCCACAGGGACAGGTAGTACTGGTGGTCGGCCGTGACCCAGGCCGGGCTCAGTACGGCCCCCAGGTCCAGACACAGCGCCAGGAAGATGCACACCAGCCCGACCAGCTTCAGCGGGGTGAGCACCGACACACGCACCTCCTCCATGCCGCTGCCCGCCGAAGCCATGCCCCGGGCGCCGCAGTTAGCCGGCCCGCCGAAGGCGAAGACGCCAGGCGGGTCCGGAGGGCTGGGTTCCGGACCTTCCTCGAAGGGAAGCAGCGGCTCCGCGGGGCGCGGGAACTCGCTCCCTTGGGGCTCCGCGCCTCCCGCCGCCACGAACTGGGGGTGCGGAGGTGGCCGGCCGAGGCGGAGGTCCTCAGCAGCCGCAAGGACGCTGATCCCACCGCGAGCCTTCGCCACCGAACCCGCGCCTCGATCTGCCCGCGCTCGCTGGGTGCCCGCTCCGCCCCGGCGCAGTCCCGCTAGCTCCGCCCCGGCCCCTCCCCGGTAGTGGGAGGTGGTGGTGAGTGGGGCGGGGCGGTAGCCCGCACTGGGGCGGTGTCAGGCTTTGGCTCTCAACTCCAGGCACCACTAGATGGAAGCTGGCGCCTGCCCCGCCCCTGTCCGATGCGTGCGGAGCGGGTCCCTATTCTCTGCCCCTGGCGCGCGCAGAGCGATTCCTCTTCCACGCTTCCGCGCGCAGAACCAGCAGGAACCCCCCCTCCCTCCCGCCCCCACCAGCACCAGCTGCGCGGGGCAATTCCTCGATACAGCCTGGCCCCCTGGCCCCGCCCCTGGCCAAGAGGGCTGCAGGGTCGCCTAGCTTCCCATCCCCATCCCCCGCCATCACGTGGGTTTTCCTTTCTTAGCAAGTTGGGTGGGTCCTTTTCTAGAAGGCTTCAGCTGAGGAATCCTAGGTTTCCTGGGCTGTAGTCTTTGGACCAAGGAGAGGTCTCTCAGTGATGGAGCAAAGCCACCCCCCTCCCCTCCCCTCCCCACTACCGCCCGTCAATTTCTTATCCTGGGGGATTTGGAGGAAGGAGGAGAAAGGTGATAACAGGTATTTTGTCCTCTCTTTTCAAACCCAGGAGGGACCCTGTCTCAGAGCCAGTAATCCCCCACTTTTCCCTATTTCCTAACTTTCCCTCTAAAACTGCTGCTGCTTCTATTCTCGGGACTCGCTTTCTTTCACGCCCCCTATGAAGGGCGATTGCTCAGGGGATGCAGGCGTTAAAATGGGATTGAAAGCTCCTGCAAAATGTGAAGTAAGCCTTGCTTGCTTATCTGCTGCTCTGTTCTTTGGTTTGATATTGACTGAAACCGTTATTCTTTGGACTTTGGACAATTCCAAGTTGGATCTAAATCCCTCCCTGGGCATAAACCTGTTCTTGTACACCTCAAGATTTAGCCCAGGGCCTGGCATAGAAAGAGTGTCATATCTTTAAGTGCTCAATCTACACCTATGTATTGAGCACCTACTGTGCTCTCCGGACTAAGGATTCAGCCATATATGACCTTGCCCCTGTTCTTGAGGAAAGGCTCTATTTTCTTATCTATACCTGAGGAATAAACACCCCTTGGAATTGAATTTGTAACTCTGTAATTAACTAGGTCAGCTTGTGATTGGTGGGTCATCTGTCTTTTGCATCTCTTTGACTGTTTTCCATTTTTCCTGTAACAATTTGTTGAATAGTAGATCACTGGGGGTGGGGGTGTTCCCAGACCTTTCATCATCTGGAAAATTGGTAAGAAACCCAAAATAGTGGTTAAGATCTGAAGAAGGGAGTAAATACCTTCTCTCTTTTCATGAAACACAGTCCTTGACACTCTAAGATTTCATAGTTTTTGTTAATAACCATTTCCTTCTAACCACATCTTTCCATGGGGCTGATCACATTTTGACCCAAGCAACATTTTGAATGTAAGAAACAATCAGTGTCAAGTGACTTGCGAATAAGAACCAACCCAAGGTGAAATAAAAAACCCATGGTTTTCTTATATTTGGAAATTAGAGAACTGGTAATTTTCCCATACCTGCCAATCATGATATTTGTTGCCATTAATAAAGAATGCCTAGAGCACTTTGAGCTCCTTAACCTCTGACTTCTTGGCCTCCCAACCTCCCAAGGAGGAAGAAGCTTAAGTGCTTCTCCTTGAAAATGGTTCCTAGTGGAACATTGAAAATTTAAAAACCAAGATGATTAATAGGGATGACCAGGCTTGTGATGGTTTTCTTTTACCTGGATTTATGTTCATGGGCTTATAATGTACTTTTGAAAATAATGTTTAAGGAAATTTTTTGACTGTGCCCTCTAAGTTATAAATATTTTTCGTCAAGTTCTACCACCTGCCCTTTAATAAATTCCATTTCTAGTCAGCTGATGTTTTTTTCTTTATCTTTGTTCCCTCTAATTTGAGCCTTCTTGCCATAGACGGTGTGGCTTAATGGATAGAGTGTCAGCCTGGGGTCTGAAGGGTCACAGGTTTGATTCCTTTCAAGAATACTTACTTTGCCGAAGCCAGTTTGGCTCAGTGGATAGAGCGTCGGCCTGCGGACTGAAAGGTCCCAGGTTCGATTCCGGTCAAGGGCATGTACCTGGGTTGCGGGCACATCCCCAGTAGGGGGTGTGCAGGAGGCAGCTGATCGATGTTTCTCTCTCATCGATGTTTCTAACTCTCTATCTCTCTCCCTTCCTCTCTGTAAAAAAATCAATAAAATATATTTTTTTAAAAAAAGAATACTTACTTAGGTTGCAGGCTCCATCCCAGGCCCCGGTAGGGGCAGGTGTGGTGATGTGTCTCTCATATCGATGTTTCTCTCTGCCTCTCCCCATCCTTTCCACTCTCTCTAAAAATCAATGGGAAATAATATCCTCGGTGAGGATTTAAAAAATAAATAATTTGGGCTTTCTTCCTCCTCCACCCTCACTCTAGCCACCTCTGTACTTGTTTCACTTCATTTTTCTGGCTTGTTCTCAATGGCTTACTTGAGTGACTCCATCCTTCTTTGTACTACCTACAAACTTGTCTGTGTACTGTCTCCAAAATCAGAAAAATAAGCCATTTTAACAACAAAAAAACAAATTGTCCTAAAAATTTCCATTCTTCTGTCAATTGTTTCTAGAATTTGCACAACATAATATAGATTAGCTATCCTTAATCCTAACTTTCAAAAAATGAAAAGCTCTCAAGACAAAAGTTTTTTTTTCTTTTCATAAGTTTGTATCAAACCAATTTCAAATTTATCTGAGGCTATTTATTTATTTTTTATCCCACTTAGTGTGACTAAATAGCCACACACCCTGTTGGATGTTGTCTCACAATATGTGTACCATAGTATCCTTCAAAAATCTGAAAACATCTGAATTCCTTAAAACAACTGACCCCAAATTTTGGAGATAAGAGATTGTAGACCTGCATTCATGCTAAAGATGGAAAAAGTAGGGGGCATTTCAACAATTACTAAACATTGAATGAAAACCTACAAAACATTATCTGGCTGGAAGTGGACTGGGAGGTGACAAATAAGATGTGTGTGTGTGTGTGTGTGTGTGTGTGTGTGTGTGTGTGTGTAGGAGAAAGGTAGAAATAAGGATTGAAATGGACCCATATCTGAGAAATAGTAAGGGAAAAAGAGTTCCTAGCTCAAGATAATGTATTTGAGATCTCTTAGAAACAATGACTCTGTTGGCCCTGCACTATAATGTCACACAAAGGCCAGAGACCCCCTTTTCACCTGAGCCTAACAAAGGGCAGCATGTCACAACAGTCACCGTTATCCATGGACCTCCAGGTATCAAAGGCTAGGGGCCCTAAATCTATCCCACAGTATAAGAGCTCCATGAAATTTAAAATTTGAGTCACAGAACACTGATGTGTGAATCTATATGAGTTGTGCAGCTAAGGACAGGCAGGAAGGAGTCATTCCCTAGACCAGCCGTGGGCAAACTATGGCCTGCAGCGCGAAATGAATAAAACTAAAAAAAAAAAAAAAAAAAAGACCGTACCTTTTATGTAATGATGTTTACTTTGAATTTATATTAGTTCACACAAACACTCCATCCATGCTTTTGTTCTGGCCCTCCGGTTCAGTTTAAGAACCCACTGTGGCCCTCGAGTCAAAAAGTTTACCCACCCCTGCCCTAGACCCTGTAGTAAAGGAAGAAATCAGTCCTATGCTTGAATCAATCAAGCCAGAAAATGGGGCAGCGATGTGAAAGGTGAGATTGGATGGAAGTGACTGGAAAACTCATCAGAAAAGTACAAATGTGTCATGATGGGACATAGAGGGTATAGAGGAGATGGAGAGGGGAAGCATGTTCCAGACTGTGAAGGTCTCTTAAGAGAATAAAGAAGAGTAAATGCCATGCTGTCTGCTCACAGTCTGTAAGCAAGGTCACCATCTCTGCATTTGCTTAGCAGTTGAGATGTATGACTACTAAAGTTCAGTGGTTTGGGAAAAATTAGAGGGGACTTATTCAGTTAGGGACTAAACAGGGATAATTTACTGTTTTCAGGAATGAGCCAAGCAATTTCATACATTGTTCAAGTCACCAATCTTGTCATTGTCGCAGCAGCCTCTGGTCAATGTCAATCTTCTACCCATTATTTAGATACACAGTGGGAAGGTTTCTCTAGTTATTCTGAATCCAGGTCACCATCCATATAGAGAAGGTTCCCTCCCTCACGGACAAACCATTTTGTTTTGCTCTTTGAGTCCTGCTTTTCTTCCCAGATCCTAGAAAGGTCTTCCTACACTGCAGACTTTCAGCACTGGGATGGCATCAGACACACACTGGTTAGAACTGTCTACTCTTGGAGAGGAAGAAGTAAGAATGGATGGGAAAACATTGATGAAATAATCATTAAAAGATTATAAATATCCATCAACTTTTTTTCAATGTAACAGATAAGGTTGGCAAAATACATTATAAGTTAGAAACAAAGAATACTTCAGTGGTTTGCTCTCTTTATTCCATTTTTGAGGTCTATGCTAGAAAGATTCTGATGAGAGCGAAACCATGCTATAATGAGGCTTGCCTGATATTTATGATAATCATGTCCAAGAGAGATCCAGGTTATGGTATATTGGGTATTGCATTATTGAGATTTCTTGTTGCATTGCTCTTGGCTTAGAAATATCACAAATAATTGTGACTGATATTTGCTATTTCTGCTTTTTTTTTTTAAGAAAAAAAGAACATTGATGAAAATAAAGACTCCCACCTTCAAAAAACTAAATCCGATCATTTCCTAATGTGTTTTCCAATTTAAAAATGTATGATATTATTGAATCAGTTACATTTAAGTCAGTAGTAGCACATTCACGATTCACATTATGTGTTGATGTTTTGACTTCAAGGTAATTGTTTCACAGTAGTACCTATAATTTACTCGCCCACAAAGAAAGAAAATAAATCATAAAAGTGAAAACACAAGAGGTCAGTGGAGTTGAAGGATGATTAGTTTTAAATAAA